CGGACTCACCGATACCTCATTGGGCATCTTCAACTCTTGGGTCGGAACCGATTGCTGCGTAAACTGGTACGGAGTCAGCTGCGATCCCACAACCGGCCGAGTCGTCGACATTAATCTCCGAGGCGAGTCGGAGGACCCCATACTCACGAAATCCGGTCAGTCCGGGTTCATGTCAGGATCGATCTCGCCCCAAATTTGCAGACTCGACCACCTCACCACCCTCGTTCTCGCCGACTGGAAGGGAGTCACCGGCAAGATCCCCCAATGCCTCACCACCCTCTCCAAACTCCGAATTCTCGACCTCGTCGGAAACAAGATTACGGGAGAGATTCCGGCCGATATTGGCAACCTCAAGATGCTCACAGTCCTCAACCTCGCCGATAACCAGATCTCCGGTAAGATTCCGGCGAGTCTCGTTGGCCTCTCCGGGCTAATGCACATGGACCTCAGCAACAACCAAATCACGGGGGAGATACCAGCCGATTTCGGAAAACTAAAGATGCTGAGCCGGGCTCTGCTGAACCGAAACCAGCTCATCGGGTCGATCCCCGATTCCATTGGCAACATGAACCGGTTGGCCGACCTGGACCTGTCCAGGAACCAAATGTCGGGTTATGTACCGGACTGTCTTGGGAAAATGCAGGTTCTTTCGACGTTGAATTTGGACAGAAACTCGTTTTCGGGTCAATTGCCAGCGTCCCTTTTGAGCAATCGGGGTATGGGGATCTTAAATTTGAGCCGAAATGGGTTCGAAGGTAACATACCGGACGTTTTCCACGGAAATTCGTACTTTATGGCACTGGATTTATCGTACAACAATTTAAAGGGGCCGATACCCGGTTCATTGTCGGCGGCGAAATATATCGGGCACTTGGATCTCAGCCACAACCACCTGTGCGGGGCCATTCCTGTGGGGAACCCGTTCGATCACCAGGAAGCGTCGTCGTTTACCAACAATGATTGCCTCTGCGGGAACCCGCTGAGTACTTGTTGATCGTGTGGATTCTGCCGTTATGGATTGTATAAGTTATCGTACCGGTTTCGTTTCACCCCGAAGTTCCGGGCATATGCGCTTTTTTATATAATTTCTGTGTATTGTAACATTTATTACGTGGTTTAGTTTAGTGTTTTTTTTTTTTTTTTTAATTTTATAAAAAAAAGTATTAAGTTCTATATAATTTGGTTGAAAGAACAAAGAAAAAGGCAGAAATGCATATGCATGCACGTGAAATAGAGCATCACGTACAATATCTTTTTCATAAGATTGAGAGAGAGAGATATTCGTAATGTATTATTTATATACTGTGCACTATTTGCATGGGAAATGGTATTATCTACTTAGTAATCTCAAATGCTTAAAAATTGCCTCTTATTAAAGTTAGGAAATTATTGCATGAGGTCTACCCAATATTAGATGTAGAGGAACATAATCGATCAATATAATTAAACATGAGTTGTCATGTAATAAAATCGGTTGTTTAAAATACGTAATGTGCACAATGACTAATTTAGAATACAAATAATAGTCCTCACAATTTACATGTGATTGCTTAAAAAATTATACTGTTATATTTTCGATTGTAAATATGTAAACACGTTTGAACGCAATTTGACAACATTTCATTTTGGAAATGATCGAATTGATAGGTATAGCTTCAATGCTACTTATCATTCAATATTACAACTGTTTAGAGGTTAATTTTGATTTTTACAACTATTTACATCTTTTATTATTATTATTATTATTATTTTAACCTTTTATTTCTTGTACCATTCAATGCTGAGACGCAGTATTGAGGAAAGAATTTAGAGTAAGTTGGTTTGCAATTGAAAATGAAACTTAAGGATTTTTGTATCTGCTTTAACTTTGGAGCAGTGGTTGTTTTAGCTTTTGGCAAAAGACAAACCCAAGGCATGTGAAGGGCATCATAACTTTCCCACAACACAGACACTGAGATTTGAAGTCGGTGGGAAAAGATTGCGAGCAACTTATATATCTATGATGAGTACATATCCTCTATGGATTTAAAAAAAAAAAAAATCCAATGATCAAATAATTCAGGCGGTTGAATTTGAAATTTTATTCAACAGCTACAAACAAAAAGTTCTTCTAAAAATTATAATAATTACAACCGTTAGATCAAAATTCAATGATCCAGATCATTTGATCTTTAAGTTCTGCTTTTTAGACCCAAAGAGGATCTGTACTCCTCTACGATGAATGCATGGAATAATGGAGGACATTAGGATGACGCTTTGATACGACTCAGAAAGTTAGGATGCTACAATTCTCAAAGCTCAAAAGTTTACCATCTTTTCTTCTTTTGATGTGTCAAAAAAAGAGTATATAAAAAGTAGCAACAGTCTTTGCTACATAATACAACAGAAAGCAAGGCATTTAAATAAAAAGTAACCAACAGTGTTACAGTAATTCGCTTGTACACACTGTTCACGCACTCTGAATTCTTTATATACATGCATTAATGAAAAGAAATTAGCTAACAAAAATGCTAGTCACTCGCTCATACACGGACCATTGATGCACTGTGAGCTCCTTACATGCATGCACTAATGACATAAATCAATCTTGTAGATTAATTAAAATATTACAATCATTCACTTAAGCACGAACAATTGATGCATTGTGACTTTGCTTATGCGTAAACAGTCAAAAATCAACCTCGTAAAATAACTTTTTGCTGTTCTGTACTAAATATCCAAACAAAAAATTCAACATGTGTGAGGATGGTAGTTCCGAAGCATTAAGTTGCCACCATTTATGTTCCATTTAGGTCGAGAATCTCACACGGCAAATAAATACACGCACATATGCATGTCCAGAATACTTGCTCTTCCTCTTAACTATTTGCGGCCCATTTTCCCGTTGAATTTACTCACTAAAATAGTGACAGACTGACAGTACCCCAAGATTTCACAGTGCAGACAGACACAGTTAACTCCCAGAGCACAGCGGCAAAGACGAGCATGGTTTTACTAAGATGCGCGGGTTGACGCCAAATACACCCACCCCATACCCCACTGGGGGACAAGAGTCACAAGACCAGTCTGGATTCACAGAGGCCAAAATTGGATAGCTGAAAGGAATTTGGGTCCCAAGAATTCAATAGAGAGCAGCACAGACAGTCTGTAAAACCAATCAAGCCTCCTTTAATACGGATACGGGGACGTCTTCCTCATCCATGCTTCTTCATAAATGTACAACAGACTTAGGGATGGGTAACGACGGGTGGATAATCGTGGTTATTTACCCATAATCGTTTATATTCATACCCGCATAACCATTTACCTGTTGGGTAATTATATAAACGGTTATACTTATAACCATAATCGTTTATAAACGGTTAACCATACTATAATCGTATCCTCATTTAACCATAACTGTTTACCTATTTAATCATAACCGTTTATCCGTTTACCTATATTTGAACCCGTTTATTCCTTTTTTTACCATTTACCCATTTTTCACCTGTCTACATGCCTTTTTTTTAACAACTTAAAAATTACAAAAGAAAAATTTGTCATAATTTTTATTTTCTGACAATTAAATACCTTCATAGATACATTTTAACATGCATCAAGACTTGCTCCGATTAAGTTCATAACACTTATTTTCATACATCAAGACTTGCTCCGATTAGTACTTCGTATCTAAAACATTATTTTTAAGTAATTACAAAGTTTAAAAATCAGATGTTATAGGATCGTATGCGTATTTATGTATGTATACATACTCTTCTGCATTACCATTATCGCCAATAAGATCCGATCCAATGCAGAACCACATCATGTAATATACAGTGAGTACCTAAACCAGCAACTAAGGAGATGAATGCGAGTGCTACAAGTTAGACTACTAAAAGTAGAAAGGTCAATGGAACTGACTCATTTGTGTTCTTTCCTGTATTTGATTTGGTGTCCTTCTATGCGTAAACAGAAGCAAATTTTAACAAAGTACTAAATATTACCATTGTAGGCGAAAATGATACATCATAGATTAACATGGTTCGGCATAAAAGCTTACTACCACAGACAAAGCACGGCAAGGAGGGAAAGATGAGTGGGGGACTAGGTGTTTGAAACTCTGAGTCTGGCGAAGAGATTGAAAATTTAGGGTTTTTATTTATTTTTAAATTTTACATATATTAAATTAAATGGGTGAATGAATACCCGTTATAACCGCAGGGTAATACCCATAATTAATGGACACCCGTTATAACAGCGAGTAATATCCATAACCGTCCATTTAAATTTTATGGATAAACAGTTATACCCATAACAGTTTGTTCGTCTAAACGGTTACCCATAACCGTAACCGTGAACTTTAAATGGAAGGGTAACTGTGGTTATCCAAACCCATGGATATTTTTGCCATTCTTATCGAACTATAGACTTAACACGAAACCTAATTTACTCTCCGGCCCTCTCTCGACACTTGAGCTAACCCGAAGAGCTTTTATCAGGATAAGATTTCATAACAGAAAATGTTTAGTCATGCATGCAATTTGACTCTAGTTTTTCTTAAATTATTTATACAACGGGTGAGTCCTAACAACCCGTTCTGAACTTGACAAAATGTCTACCACAGCAAAGAAGAGAAACTGGTGTTGCAGCAACGCGCTCAGAGTTCTAATTGTGGAGAACTCATTTAACCTAATTATACACATGATTATGCATTTTCAAAGCTATATCAAAACGCACAAACTAAACAGCAAGCAATGCTAATGACAGTCTCATAAGTAATACATGAGGTAAATATAAGCATGTTCAAAGGCAACCGAGAATTGCTTGACAAGTAGATCAAGACGTTTAGCACATAAAGATATCATCATCTAATGGGTCTAGATATTCAAAACAAATAAGCTTTTCAGAACCAAGGAAGTTCCATAGTGTTCTGTTCTCAACCTAAAATACTTAGCAGATGATTTTACATTTCCAAATTCAGAAATTAAAATTTAAATACTGTGCCCTGTAATAAAGGATATTACAAGAGGATGTCAAATTATGAAACTACTGTTTGTAAGGTTGACAAATTTCTAGGAAAAGAGTTTTTTGGACCTTTTTTTATATGTAATTAAATATCACTACAAATCAATGATCTACGAAAAGAAAGAATGAATAAAAATTTTCTCAATATCACATTTCAGATTCAAATCCAATATTCCAAAACCCTTCTGGAGTAAGAGGGGGAGCATACCTATACCGATGACGAGAAACACCTTCATGGTGCTCACAGCGAAAATTTTGCTTATTATTATCGGTGTCCTTACCACCGCCTTCGTTGGGAAGGACAGCGTCATAGAACTTTTTGCACTGCTTGCATTCAACTCCTTTCAAATTTTCCCGCTCAGCTTTCTTTCTTACAGGTTCTACAAACTTGAAACCATTTTTACCGGCCACTGGAGCTGGCATCTGCTGCTTCTGTGGCCTAACTACAGCGTTAACATCCTGTGTTTCATCATCTGAGCTATCTAGATTCATGTCATTTGGAGCTGGAACTGGAACTGGACGATCAGGAACTTGTTCCTTTGTGGCTTTATTCAAGTTTACTCTGATGTTCTCAAGTGGGGTATCAAGAAAATCATCGTGTGGGTCAGGCCCATCTTGGCCTTGACGCCTCCTAGTATCCACCCAGCTGGAAGCAGGCCGTTTTCTCCCAGCTACTGGGGCAGATTTTGAGGTGGGAGGGCATTTTTGTGCAATGGGGAAGAAGGAAGTAGAAGAGATAGGACTAGCTGCTTGAATTGGCTTGCCTCCTTTCACATCCTCCTCCAATTTATTGATACAATTGATTTCATTCCTGACTTTTTTTGTGCATAAAGTTGACACAGAAGCATTCTGATTTTTCTCGACAAGATCTACAATTTGCAATAGATGAATCGATCAAACAAGGGTGCCAGGAAATGAAATCCCAATGGAAAACCGAAAGACAAGCTAAAGCTACGTGCATGTGTGCTATTCCCCTATTACTATAAACTTAGGAATCGAAAATGTTTTTAAAAGTAAAAGATACCACACGGACTTCAATTCAAAAGTAACATGCAAGATCAGCCATCCCAATATCATCTAGTAAAGCTATAATTGGAAGAACCATAAATTCCAGTAATACATATTTCTTACAACAACTTCAATTGAAAGGTAACAGACGAAAATCAGCGGACCCAAAATTATCCAGTAAAACAACATTTGGCAGATCATCATAAGTTTGTAGTTTGTACTAACACACATTTTCCCTTGGAGTATTTATATTTCATTTTCAAAAGACTAATAAAGATGGAAAGAACAAAACAGAAAGAGCATCATACCATGTGAAGTTGATGGATTTTGGTCGTATCTCAACAAATCACTTCTATCTTCCAACTTATTCTGGGGTAGCATATTCTCCCTTGTAAGACCAAGCTTTGTGCGGAGATACTTGTGCTGAGATTTCAGGTTTTTGTAAGCACCAATAAGATCTGTGTACTTCTTCCTCTCAGCCTGTAAACCCGAGGTCATTGATTCAATCTGTTGATGTAACTTTTCACATGAATCCCTTCTTTTGGCCACTTCGCCAGCCATGCCTAGTTCATCAACTTTTTCCTCTAAACTAGTTACTTTGGCTAGAAACTGTTTTTTCTCCCTCAGATAACCCTCCACTTCATTGTTCTTTGTAAGGAGCTCCTTTTGGAGTCGATCAACATTTGCTTCCAAAATTTCCAATTTGGCCCTGAGAAGTTTTTTCTCTTCTTCTTGATCATTCAAAAGCTTTTCTTTATTCATGATCTCAGAAGACTGATGCTCAACCTTTCGAAATAAATTCTCTTCAAGCTCATTTCTTTTGGTTACTTGGTTAATCTTTTCCCCGAGCTCCTCTTGGAGTTCATCAACTCTATTTTCAAGATCACTTAATTTAGCAAGAAGCATGTTTCTACTTTCTTCACTCTCTTTCAGTTGTTTTTCCTTATCCATAATGACAGCGTCTTTGGATTGAATCACTCCGAGCAACTTACTCTCCAATTCCATTCCCTTATCTACTTCCGTAGACTTCTGCTTAAGCACTCGCTCAAGCTCATTACCTTTGAACTGCACACCTTTCAGTTCGGCGAGTAGTTGGTTCACCTTCTCTTCCTGTTCCTTGGATGGATTTCCCTTGTCAAGCTTGAGTAAGCGGTTCTCTTCAAGGGTTTGTTGCTTTTCAACTCTAAGTGTTTCAATTCGACATAAGAGATCATTTTCTTTCTCTTTCCATTGGTTTTCGAATTTCTGGAAGCTTTTAGACTTAGATTGGAAATATGTGTAAAGCTGGTTGCAGAAAACGTATTCAATCTGAGAAATCCTGTCTTTGGCTTCCTGAATCGTGGCAACGAGTAAAGTACTAAGCCCAGAGACATAGTCCACACCATCCAATTCACTGTCAATGGGGTCACAACCTACTTTGAGAGAGTCCATCTCTGAATTTTTTACATAACAAACAAAAACCAAAAATAAGCAAAACAAGCAGCCATAGCTAAAATCGAAAAATATAAAATCTCTTATTGCAAGTGACAAACAATCTCCAAAAAGCAGAAAGCACAATGCCTAATATCCACACTAATCAAGCAAAGACAATTCAATTAATTTCACATAAAGCTCGAAAAACTGCGAGGAACTAACATAGCTCGAGATTCAAATGAATAAATATATACGATCAGCAGTTTGAAACATTAGGGTTCTGTTTGGTCGCAGTGAGTGTGGATCTTGGCCCTTCCAAATGCCGAATTCAAAATTAAGAACTCACAATTCCACTTCCCCTCTCTGAAATCCCTAATTTGCAACAAAAATGAATTATAAAAATCGCAAAAGTAAAAGAGTGAGAGAGAGAAAGAGAGAGAAATTACCTCGGTGGAAGTTAGCTCTATCCGTAGGAGAGTACGATGCAGAAGATTAACGGCATCCTGATGATCGTTCGCGAGCTCTCTCTCTGTGTCTGCCAGTGAATGTTGGTGAGTGGCTCTGCAACTTCTGGGGTTTGAGCGGGCATGTTTGGCTGCGAGTTTTGTTATTGTTTTTGGGCAGGAGGACTGGCAGGACGTTGTTGTTTTAAAAGAAACTTCGCGGGCACAATTTCTTGGCGCTGCAGAGTAAAACTGTGAAAAAAAAGAGTTATGTCGTAAAGAAAGTGGTTTTTTCCCTTTTTTTTTTTTTTTTTTTGGGAGTTTTAATAAAAAAAAACTGCGATACTGTTTATTTTAACGAAAAATTATATTTTTACACTAAAAAGTCAATCTTGGTACTATTTACTTTACTCTTTATTTTGTCTTTATCGTTAAAACTCAAAGTTTTCAAGTCATTTTCATTAGTTTTATTTTTTATTTTTCTTTTAGAGGATTAAAAAATATTGCGTGATTATTGAGTCGACCGGAAAATAAACAGTAAAGATTGAATTAAAAAAATTGAACGTTGAAAATTAAATATAAGAATCGAACGGTGAAGATTGTAGAGAGTAATGCTTGGGGATCAAAATTTTAAAACTAAATGATGTAGTTGTAGATGATTAGATTATTAATTAAATGTCAATTAACGTGCTTGTTTCTTATTGGTAACACATCATTTGATTTAAAATTTTAGTCTCCCTAGCACTACCCTTCTTTAAAATGTCAAAATTTGCTACTTAATATTACAGTCTAGTGATATTTCTCTTTAAATGTATTAGGTTCGATTCTCGTCAAAGATAAATTTGAACCACATTTCTTTATGGCTAGCCCAGTAAGGCTCAACCCACTCCCTCACCTCTTAGTATAGATAATATCATTTTCAAAAAAAAAAAAAAAATTCCAGACTACTTGGCAAGCTATATCCAATTAAAAGAACATTACATTGAAAGCTTGCCACGTTTAAACAATACATATTAAAAGTAATTTAAAAACTAGAGTGGACTAGAAATGATTCACCAAGAATTCGAATATGGATGTAGAGAGTGGAGAGCAGAGCTCTAGTAAACTTGGGTAAACTTAGATATGCACTCGACAAAATCATTGCTTTACCATAACTTGATCAGCTAAACCTCGTTAGCCAAAAGGAATTTGAATCGTAAGTCGGACAACTTGGAAGAGTCTTTTGGGTCACCTTCAAGGTGTACCTTTTGAATCTCCCCGGTAAATTCTAGAATGTTACCCGGGGTATATCTCGTGACGCGAGATATACTAAAGCCGACAAAACACTAATTAAACCATTCAAAAACTCTGATTTAGAAGTTCCAAGGACAGACAAAACCAGGCCACACATCCTCAATTAAACAAAAGTACAACCGAAATTGGGATCACCTAACTAGAACAAAAACGGGGGTTTAAACGGAGTTCAGCTTTCTTCTTCATCGATCACCTTGGTGCCCAAACCACTAAATCCCTCTGGAGGGACCTCCGTGACAGCGACTAGCGAGTAAAACCCTTCCTTGGCATCTTCATCATCATTTCTCTTCCGTGCAATGCGGACGCGTACCCTTCTTGGAACACTCCGAATGCCACGGCTCCATATGTGCTTGTTGAGCTTAACATCCACTCTGACATCAGGGGTTCCCATAGCCTTCTGAGCAAACTTCCTGATTTCCTTTATCGCATTTGGTGCCTTCTTCTTAAATGTGCTGCATGGGAATTAAGACAACGGATAATTAACAGTGTGATAAGCAAATAGCCCACCTAATGCCGAACTTTGCGAAAACATATAAAGAAATACTGCTGCAGAAATGGAGCCTGCAACGCAATTCGGAGAACCATATATTTTTATTTAACGAAGCTTTCTGAAAATAGTAACCGTTCAGTCTTCTAAATCACTAAACGGTCAGGCTTCTCACCAGTGCATCATAACTTAATACACCACTACACCTTGTGTCCAATTGGGCAACGTCGAAAATCAAGAATGTAATCAATATTTAACAAGCAAGGCACATTTTGCCCACAAAACCCTTCAATTTAAGCCGCCAATAACTCTAACAATCAGAGGCTAGGAGGTCATAAAAGAATGTTGGCAAATCAACAATTCACTTTCTACGAAGAACAAACCATCAACAATGTTCTTGTGGAGAGATTTTTCAGTGTGCCCGGCCACGGGCACATATGCCATATGTCATGAAAACTTGAAAAAAAAACCTTCCCTCCACTTATATGGCATATCGCCCTGTGTTCCGGGCACAATGAAGATCTCGCATTCTTGACAAGCAACTAATCAATACCCTAGTAAACATAAGCATTCTAGACAAGCAACTAATCAATACCCTAGTAAACATAAAACTGTCATTGCAAAGGAATTCTCCAATGATTCAGGAAATGAAAGAAGCTATAAAATAAATAAAAAATGATCAAGCTGCTAAAAACCCTAATTATCTCACTCCAAAGATTAGATTTTGATCCATGACCCAATTAATTAAAAAATGCAATCAATAAAACAGTTAATTCATCACTTTTAGCTCAAAAACCCCACAAAATAAAACCATTAAAAAACAAAGATCAAAATCAATTTAACCTCCTTAAACTAAGATCTAAACCAAGAACAAAATATCAGTAAAATTCTGAGGGCTTACCATCCATGCAAGCGTTTGTGAAGGTTGATAGTGTACTCTCTGGTGACGACCTCCTCCTTTCTTCCCTTGCCGCGGCCCTTCTCCGCCATTGTTAAAGCTCTGAGCTCACCTTCTCCTCCCTGCTGCACTGAACTTGCTCTCCGTCGGCTGCTCAATGAGCCCTAGGGCTTTAGCTTAGTGATAGGGCGATCATGTACTGATGGATATTTCATTAAATACCCTTATGTTTTCCACTAAACTACACCACTGTCCTGACTATTATGAAAAAGATGCAAGGTTAATTTTGTCTTTCTGGTTGCTTTCAATTCTTTAATTGGGTTTGTTTTGGAAAAACTGGGCCAGACCCAACTAAACACCGCAGCCCAAATTTAGGATAACAACTTAAAATGAAGGGAATGTTAATGTGACTGATATTTTTTAGAAAATTTTAACGAAAAGTTTTCGGTACTATTCATTTTAACGAAAAATCATATTTTTACACTAAAAAGTCAATCCTAGTACTATTTATTTTACCCTTTATTTTGTTCTTATCGTTAAAGTTCAAAATTTTCAAGTCCTTTTCATTAGTTTTCCTTGTTCTTAAACCAATTTTGAGAATGTTATACTGAAAAATTAAACATGTGAGCAGGTTGTTTTGTTGGTTTAAATACCACAATATAATTCTGGGTTTGAGTAAATTTTTTGATAGTAATAATCCTCATATTATAACATGAGAAGACAACATATTTGTGATGAGTTCAATACTAAATTATGCAATCTTCCATCTGCTAACCTTTTTTAGTACCCTTTTTTTTTTCTTTCTTTTTTGGCAATTGTGTGATTTAGCTAAATTATTTAGAAAATAATATTTAAAAGAGGTCTTAGTCGATTTATAGACTTTTCTTATGAATTTTAATTTTAGTCAATTACAGTTGAACTTTATAAATAGTTACTTTCTTTCTTTATGTTAGACTTCAAGTTTTTTGCACCTCATTAAACTCACCTCGACGGATCAATTCTACTTTCTCTATGTTAGAGTTCAAGTTTTTTTTTAAATGACTCATGTGTGGTCCACGTGATAAATATTTTACGGAATTTTTTTATTGCAAATGTAAAGTAATAAAATAGGATTCTTTTTTGTAGGGATCCGTAGGATAAATCAATTGTGCTTGTTCATCATACATTGTACGGTTATAAATTATTTTAAATTAAATATAAATAGTATCTAAGGAAACTAACCGTACGATATATGATAAACAAACATAATTAATTGATCGTCAAATCCCTCCGGAGAGATCCTTGTCCTAAAGTAATTTTTTTTTTTGGGAAACGGGAATCCATAGAACCAGGGCAAAGAAGCCAAAGAGAAATATAGAGAGCCTACAACAAGGCAAACAACTGAGAACCAGCAAAAGCAGAAAGTAGTGTGAATGGTCCAAGGAGCAATGACGCCGCATCCAATGCTAAAAACCGTCACCACTCACACTACTGGGGTGTTTAGGGAAGACATGGGAGTCCATTATTACAAAGAACATGAACTAAGGAAGATGGAGGTCGATCAACCCACATAACATCACACATCTCCCTACATTGTCTTGACACAATGAAGTTCGCCGTACAATTGGCCGATCTTGGAACCCAAGACCAATAACAGGTTTGGAAATTATCCCCCAGTCTTTTACATTTCATAAGAATGGGGAAGTCTTCCCAACTACCAAGAGTTGAAGTATTCCTGAGGCTGGCAATGGATTCCATCGAATTAGATTTGATGATAACCGAGTTCCATCCTCGGGAGATACCCAATTTGCATCCATGGAGAAGCTCCTTTGCTTCCGCCACCGCTGCATTAAATGCTTTGATGAAGTATTGACATGCTACCATAAAGTTTCTTTCCATATCCCGCATAACCACACCTACAAAGCCATCATGCAAACTTGACCTCCAACTGGCATCAACGTTGATTTTGATAAACTCAGGACAAGGCGGAGACTGATGGACCTCAACAGCACCAGGGGAATTGAGCCAAGAGGTGCAACGCACTGGGCAAGCAGCTTTATTGAAAGTTCCAGCCATGTTAGCGATTGAGATGACTACCTGTCTTGGGTTAACCGGAACATGATTAAACAACGCATTGCAACGAGTTTTCCAGATTTGCCAACATGTGAAGCCAATATAGGAGAGCCTCGTTGTAACCTCTGACTTATAACCCTCATTTATCCTAGAAATGTCAATTAGCCATTCTGCCTAGGTAGTGATCAGAGCACGGTTAATTTTTAAATTAAGAGCACCCCCAAACCAAACTAATTCAACCCACGAGCGCATAAGGAATAAGTGCTCCACCGACTCCTCGTGTAAAGAACACAATGGGCAAATAGGGGATTGCGCCAATCTCCTCTTGAATAAGTTCGCCATGGTTGCAATGGCGAAGTGAAGGGTTTTCCACATGAAACATCGAACCTTTGGTGTTGTATATATAGTCCATATAACCTTCCAGAGAGAGCTGGGAATAGATGTAGAGGACGATGGACCGGAGCTTCTATGAGATGGTCTCCTTGAAGCCACCCAATGGTATCCTAACTTGACAGAAAAAATTCCCCTCTTTTCAAAAGGCCACACCAATCTGTCATTGAGCTCTGGATCACCAATCAGAGTTTTTAACATGGCATCATAATCCTCAGCCGACACAAACAGTTGTAAAAATTGGATGTTTCATCCACCTATCTCCGAACTTAATAAAGAATTCACCCTTGTATTTCAGCTTACATGTACCTCTTTCATCGGCGATGGTCGGCCCAACGAAGCGGAAGGAATCCATCTATCGATCCAAACTCGCACATCTTTTCCATTCATAATCTGCCAATATGCTCATCGAAGTAATGTTTCTGTCGGCTAATAGGCTAAACCAAGCCCACAACGCTCTGCCACCCTTTTCCGCATCCAAGAACGAACAATTGGGGAAGTATCGTGCTTTAAGCACCTCTGCCCCCTTGGAATTCGGTTCAGAAATTAATCTCCAGCATTGCTTTGCCAGTAGAGCGTCATTAAAGTCCACAAAATTTCTAAACCCAAGCCCACTATTGGCTTTAGAAAGGCACAACTTCTCTTTAAGAGACCCAATGGATCCAATGTTCTCCCTCTTTTTGTCCCCACCAAAAGTCAGCTATCATAGCATCAAGCTCCTTGCAGAAAGTTATGGGGAATTTGAAAAGGTTCATAGGATATGCTGGAATAGCTTGTGCCACCGCCTTGATCAAAACCTCTTTCCTTGCAGTTGATAGAGTAGACTTCTTCCTGTCTTGCAATTTCCCCAAAAGGCGCCCCTTCACATAAGCCAAGCCACATTTTTTTGAGCAGCCCCAAATTGTCGGGACACCCAGGTATCATCAACCTTGTCCATTCCCAAAATACCTGTTAACTCATTCGCCAAACTTGCAAGAACATTATGGCCGAATAACACATTTGACTTATGTAAGTTAACTTGTTGGCCCGATGCAGAGCAATACTCATCAATTAAGCGAACTAGATTTCAGCAATTATCCTTCTCCGCCTTCAGAAAAATGAGAGTATCATCCGCAAAAAATAAATGAGAAATGGTCGGACCGATGCAGTTCAGTTGTATCCCTTCAATTCCTTTCATCTCACATGCCTGCTGCATAAGTAGAGAAAAGATCTCACTCACCATCAGAAATAAGTATGGGGATAGAGGATCTCCCTGCGAAGACCTCTGGAAGGAGCAAAGTTATCGCTGGGCTGACCATTAAGCAGAATTACAAAGTTCACCGATGATATACATCCCATTATGAGATTCCTCCAATTACTATTGAACCCCAATCTTAGCATCACCGCCATTAAGAAATCTCACTCCACGCGGTCGTATGCTTTATGCATATCCAATTTTATTAATGATGGAAAATACAAAAGATAGATCGGTAAAACCTCATTTTGTATATATAAAAATAAAATAAAATAAAAAATAAAAACTCAAAACCCTGAACTACTCTAATAGCTCCTGCTAAGCTGCCAAAGCGTCTCATCTTCTTCACCGTCTCATATCTCTCTAATTTTCCAAATCACAGAGATAAAGGTACTGACTTTCACCCTCGTATGCGTCACTTCTGCAGTATTTCTCTTTAGATCTTATAATTTTTTATGTTAATTTTTTCTGGTAATTTGTCTTACAAAATTTCTTAAAGTAGTCCTCGATCTCTTTTGGGGTTTTCAGAAACCCTAGGTTTTGATTAAATGTTATACATTTTTATACTCAACTTTCACTTGATGGACTCCCATTTGGTTCATCCTATTGTCTAACTTTTTGTTTTTTTTTTTCCCCAAAAATTTCTAGCATTTTAGGGTTTTTGAGTGGAGAGCTTCATCGGCGAATTGAACCGAACGGAGCTGAAGAAAAATGGTAATTTTGAAACCCGCGAAGATTTATAAAAATTAAAAAAAGCTGAAAATTTTGATTATATTTTGAAATTGTGTTTTTTTGTTTCAGTCAGGGAGGAAAGAAACAGTTTTGGACCTGGCCAAGTTTGTGGACAAAGGTGTCCAAGTCAAGCTCACCGGCGGCAGACAAGGTTATTATACTTTGCCGAATTTTTCAAATGAATTCTAGTTGGTTAATTTTAGATTCTGGATTATCTGCACATTGCTGTTGGTTATTGGTTATTTGATTAGCCGTAGCGATAGGGTTAGTTAGGTGTTTTTCTTGCAGGGTGTCATACTTCAAGCAATTTTTGGTTCTATCTAACACGAAATAGGAGGTTTCAAGATCCAAATCAAACAACCTCGAAGATTTAGAATGTAGAAACCCACACCCGTTGTATGTTGTACGGTAAATCTGTTATGATATGATCCAGGATATGTGGTGACACTGAAGAGAAACTAATGTCATCAGGATTTACGTCGCGCTCGTTAGGAAAATATTAATGGGAGTTTTTTTTTTTTTTCTTTTTTTCTTTTTTTAACACCTTTCTTATGACCTATTTTATACGCACAATTTGATTTTCTGTTGTGAATTTGGTTACAGTGACAGGGACTCTGAAAGGATATGACCAGTTGTTAAACCTTGTCCTAGATGAAGCGGTGGAGTTTCTAAGAGGTAAATGTTTCACAGCATTCCAGAAACCGTTTACGATGTGTGTGTTTAAACTTCACGATTTTGGAACTTTCCTACAGCAGTGAATGCTTAGTTGACTTGAGAATCTTTCCCTTGCTTTGCAGATTCTGATGATCCATTGAAGACCACTGATCAGACCAGGCGCCTTGGCCTCATAGTATGTATTCTTCTAGTATATCTTTGTCGTAGGATCTTTAAAAATACAGCGCAGGAACTTCATGTATACGTTGAGATTTTGGCTGCTGGTTTAGCAGTATTCAACCATGCCTAAAGTTGTTAGGATTTATGGTATGCCTGGTTGTGATACTTTCTGATTATCTGATCACAGCTGTGAGAATATAGTAGTAAGAGGAGATATGAAAATCTAAGGGGAAAATTAGTATTTTTTTAGAAGAAAGGGTGGAAAATTAGTAAAGAAAGAATAATCACCAGACCCAAGAGAAGCGTAGCATATTAAGAAAATGGCTTGGGTCTCCTTGCTTTATTAGTCAACTATATTTGACTAGAATTGGGGGAATACCCCCCATGCTGATCCAACTATAGGGCAAAGCTCTGAGATTAGGAAAACAAGTCGGCGTGTATGATCAGTAGGGTACTGCTCCGAAGAATAGGAAAACAAGTGCGCCTGTACAATCAAAACAAATGCGCAAAGTACCCTTCATATGACTAAGGCACGGAAACTTCAAGTTCAATTGGGTTGGAATCTTGCTTAAAAACTGTGTTAATTCTTGAATATAGTTTGCCTTTTGGGTACTTTTCTTATCTCTATAGCATATCATGGAATTTTGAGGCATCTAGGGGCGAAACGTGAGCTTATTTTTTAGTGTTAAGTTTTCTGTTGGGCACGGGACCAACATGCTAACTTTTCTAAGCATAAAAGATCATGGTTAGATGAACTTAATCTTCTGGCATGCTTCTTGCATTTTATCAATGGAGAACTCATCTGCAAAATCATCACTAAGTTGCACTTTGAAGTCTTTTAAATGTCGTTAAAGTTCTGCTCAGTCAATTCTAGGGCTGCTTATCCTTTAAATTCCTCTCAGACGATGCACACATGACTACCCATTGCTTGCTCATAATTTGAAACTTCTCAAAGGTGAAAAATTCATTTGATCCTTTGGGGGGTTAGTGACTTATCTTAGAGTATGCAAACTTGTATACTTCTTGTTTACTCTTCGGACCAATACTTGTTGGCTTTATTTAATGCATCATGTCATCGTACAACTATGGTTTTTATAACATAATGTGACATGAATCTGTGGGCACTTTGACACACATAACTTCAGCTTCAATATTGTCTCTTGATGTAATTGAGTTATCTGACTGGTACCTCAGTTCCCTTCCCCATCTAGTAGCCAACTTCAAATTTCAACCTATTTTTGAGACAATAGTCCAACTAGTACCGTCCTTGAGAATAAAAGTGCCAATTTTGCCACGACAGAGACTGCAAGTCCATTAAACTTACTCAAATACTTGTCTATGGTCCTTCCTTCTTTTGTGTACAGTGAGTCGAATTTCCTTTACAAATCCATCATTTAATCAGCTGCTAAAAGCTGCTTTGCATATTCTGTTTTCTCCTTGTTGAGCAAATTGCTGAAACTTTCTTATGCCATTCAAGGGGCCGTATTTTTCGGTTTAAGCTTCACAAGCTTCCACTCAAAGTGAATCTCGGAACTAGTTTTCCAATCCATATAATCCTCCATATGCATTTTTCCACTAAATCAGAAACTCAGTTCCCGCTTTAGCTATTTGGCAAAGTGCTTGTGCCCAGTGAACTATCCAAACCTTTTAGCTATTTGGCAAAGTAAGATAGCTTTTGGGAATTCATTAGCACTTGTGTGTGTTTCCTTCTTTTGGATTTAGTATTATATTACTGGTTATTTTGCTCAGGTACCGTACAACAAGTTTTGAGTGTGCAATATTATGGTGTCAGGTTTGTAGGGGAACCGCTGTAATGCTTGTGTCGCCGACAGATGGTACAGATGAGATCGCCAACCCTTTTAGCCAGCCAGATGGTGCCTAAAACTGAGACATTGCCTTGCCGCCCCTCTTCTCACGACAGTGCTTAAGAAACCGTGATGAGGTGGTACCATGCACATTTTAGGGTGGTTATGCCCTTGGCCTTTAAATTACATAGCACATTTGATTAGTGACTAATGTAAAACGTTAACATCTTTATGACTCCGTTTTATCTTTAGATATCTATTAAGAAATTTGTTATGGGAATTATTGGATGCTTCTGCATAATCAAACTCGAGTAAATGTTGTCGCCACCACCATCACAACCATAATTGCCGCCACCACTATCACAACCATCATTGCAATCGTGAGTAAATGTTGCCGCCACCACCATCACAACCATAATTGCCACATTGTATCCACAACAACCACAGCCATCACCATCATCATGGCCGCCACTGCCACCAACACCACCATAACCACAATCCCATCACTGCCATCACAACTATAACCACAACCCCGACCTCTAACACCTCCGCTACCGCTGCCCTTACCAAACTAGCTCTAAGTGTTAGTTGCCTCTCCATCTCTAATATCACTAAACGGTCCAATATCCTAATGGATAAAGTGTTTGAGTTCTATCCATTCATTTCGGGCTCGAAACTCCTCCTCCTTCTAAATTATGTATTAGTTTCAAGCTCTCCCTTCGCACTAACAATAATAAAATGAAAAATAAATAAAAAATAAAGCATCAATACTCGCTTTGAAAAAAAAAAAAGGGGTTTTGGGTCATAACCGTTAATTATTAACAGAATATTTTTGGGATTATTTAGTTTAAATCATTGTCAAGTTTTCCCCTTCATATTATAAAACAAGAGGCTACTTATTGCTACTGACAGACCAGAATTTCAGACTTTATCTTACCCAACAAGAAACAGAAGAAGCTCCAACGACACAAAGACAAGAGTTTTACTTTTTTTTTTCTTATTTCTGAAGGATTTGGGGGATTATTGTCAATTTAGCTCTTAATGATGGATTATTTGATGGGGAACAGGCTTTCGTGTAGTACCCGCCAAGTCCAACCTTGCATGTTGAGGTTGGTGCTTACAATTTGACCTTATATCTCTATTTACTAAATTACATTTTCAACATTTTCCTTGTCATATTTCACATTTGTCATATTTTCCCATTATCTTTGTGCAAGCGTGCAAAAGAGTCATAGTAGTTTAAAACAATAAAAAAATATATAAATTAAATAAATAAAAGAAAAAATAGAGCAATAATTCCTGAACTTCAACATACTAGAAGTTTCGATCACTAAACTAAATAAGTGTGAGTATTTGTTCCTAAATTTGTTATAATGTGAAGCATCGGTCTTTTTGCCGCTCTAAGTAACCATAGCAAACCTGCCTCTTCAAGACAATCATTTAGCTTTAGCAGTTTCACTTTACATTTCCATTTTCCACTAAGAAGCTAAGAACTATGCTTCCAAGTCCAGGTTCCAACAAACCCAAACCCCACAAAACGATGAAGACAAAACTCAACAACTTCCCGAGTCGTCCGATGTCAGATACATGCATCTATGCATGCATACCCATTCACAGAATCACATTAACAAAAAAAATACATGGACCTTTCTCACAACTTTTCATGTCACTCAAAGGTCACGAAACAGGTGGTCCCCACACCCACCATGGGCCCCACCACACAACTCAATTGATATGCATCCACGCCACGCGCACTCATCCACGTCATCTATTCTATTCTACGCGCCCACCAACGCTCAACCTCAACCGTTGATCTCGTCGTCCTCGAGATCCCCTCCACACATCACTTTGAGCTTGTTTCCTGCATAGAACACACTTTGAATGCTTTTAAAAATTAAAAATATTTTTTCTAAAAACATTTTCAATTATTTTAAAATTAGATTCAAACAAACTCTTTACATTAAAAACAGCCAGCAATTATCGCACGCAAATGTTCCTTTCACCTCACGTCCAACGCTTTACAGCTTTTACAGTCAAAACCGCGCACACGTCAGCTTCGCATAGGCCCGCCCGCCAACATGCCGATGCGATATATTGAAGTCTTTTGAAATAATCGCGATAAAATTAATAATTCTAAAACCTCATCTCGTGTCAATTCCCCGGACCCCAGTGCTTCCCACCATCGGCAACCGAATTTCCAGTTGCGAATATTAAATGACGAAAAACACCCTGTCCCTTCCTGGATTGTACATTCAACTGCCACTCAAATTTGCAGGGAGAAGAAAATATATTAAAATTACAAAAAAGCTGAACATTCAACAATCACATCGAATATCGTAAATCATCACAATAATTTTTATCATTTCCAATCCACGACAAAAAAAAAAAAAAAAAGAACACAAAAATATAATTAAAGTTTAAAAAAAAAAAAATTCAGAGAGAATTTGATCAACGAAGCGATCAATCTCCATCTCTAAATTCCATTTTGCTCTTCGTCTAAACGATCGCTGATGATCTCCGGGAGAGAGACGCGCCATGAGAACCGATCGAGCCACAAATACCTATTCAAATTTTCTCGAGAAAATTCCGAAACTTTTTCAGTCGTTTCCGTTTCTACAAATTCAATCGATGTATAATTATCAAACCAGTCAGACCCGGACAATCTTCGCGGCTTTGACCACGGGGTTTTCTCTCGCGATGGCCTCGCGACCGGCGGCCTTGTAGTCGTAGCTGCACACATGGCGGTCGGAGTACCGGTGCTCGGAGCAGAAGAGATCGCCGCACCGGCACCGGAATCCGGTCAACCCGACCTTTCTCCGGCATCCGGAGCACCGATTGACCACGCGCCTATTCGGCGATTCGTCCGATCTCGCGATCTCCAACGCCGTCGTCTTCCGGAAGGTCTCGGCCTGGGCCTCGAAGCTGAAGGATGAGGTAGATCTCGGACTTTTCTCTGCAGAGAACTTCAAAATCGCCGCGGACGAAGACGACGATGATGTGGTGGCGGCGGCCGATGCGGCGTTGAAGCACTTCTGGCACATGTTGTTGGTGGAGGGATTACCGGTGACGCCGCAGTTGTTGACGCAGTGCGTTAGAGTTTCGGGGACCTTGAACTCCGTCTCTTCCTTCTCGGCTCTCTGTGCCATTTTTTTCACTCAAATTCTGATCGATCGATCGATCTCTCTCCTCCTCTTTTTTTTCCTTCTGTTTTTTTTGGAGATATAGATAGATGGAAAGAAAGAAAAATAGAGGGTGTGGTTTTTCTAGAGAGAGAGGAAGAAAAAGTTGTGGTTTTTAGAGAGAGAGAGAGGAGAGGTTTGGACGGGCGATGGGAGCAGAGAAATGGGGAGGGGGATATTATGAAGAACGATGGGCCTCAGAGAGACGCGTATAGAACAATTTTGCCATTCAGTTTTACCGAAATACCCTTCGTGCTTTTCTTTGATTATTACCTTTTTGGCTTTTTACCAAAATGGTCTATGAGATTTGTCTAACTTCTCATTTTAGTTTTTGAGATTTGAAATCAATATTAGAGATCATTGAGATTGTCCACCGTCAATCATTTTGATCATTCGGGTGAAAAATTATGTTAAATAAGGATTAAAATGAAAAAATTACCCTCAATAATATAAACAATAGCCAAAATAATTTAACAAAAATTGAGGGCATTTTTATCAGTTTATCTTTATTTTATAGAGATTTTTCATAGACTGATCAAAATAATTAATTGTGGACAAACTCATGGACCAATTATATCGATTTCAAATATCAGGGACTAAAATGAGGAGTTATGCAAATATCAGAGTGACAAAACAGCCTTACCCTTTTGCTTAAACAAATTAAAGTGAAAAAAGGAATAATTGATTTTTTTTTTAATTTTTAATTTTTTAATATATAAGATACTATCAATAATAAAGTGCGGAAAATGCGCTAAATTTCACAAAAGACTTGTCTTACTAATTAAGTAGTGATATCTATACACTTTTTTTAATATCTCATACCCTTATTATTTTTTGCCTATTAATTTTGTTCAATTCATTTGATTCAACAACATAAAATTAATAAAGGTGTGTGAGAGGTGAAGTTGGATGTGTCAATATCTTAACAACATCATCCTAATAATTTTGTTGGAACTTGCTTTTGACAAAAATCGAGTTAAGACCTATTACTTTAAGCAAAAATTGCTAAAAAGATTCAAAAGTAAAATTCTTCGTAGACTCTGTGTACCTAATGTTTGTTTGGCATTGGATTAGTTGTTTTACCAACAGGATCCTCTTTGGATTATTTTGGTGAGGATATGAGGATTCGTGAATCGTGTCCATTCATCATACATCGTACAGTTAGTTTTTGTTAGTATTATTTGTGTTTAATTTTAAATAAAAATATTTAAAATAATTTTTGATCAAACAATGTCCGATAAACGAACACGATTGACGGATTCTCGTAACCCTCACACAGAGAATCCGGATTCATTGTTCTAGATTTGGTTCTGACGTGGTAATCGTCATTATTGAGAAAAGGTCAATCCTGACAAAGCTTATTTTAAGGTTCGGTGGGACCGCCGTTTTACCCACATGGAGCATATTAGCAACATGCCGCCGTCCAATTGCTTCTATTGGTTGCGGATTTTAATTTCTTTAGTGTTACGAGTTTTATCTAAGCGTTACAAAAATATATTATATCTTTATGCATAAAATTAATTAATAATTTTATGAACCACTCGATAGTACAAATATTAAGGAAGAAAAATTAAAAATTTAGATTCATCCCCGCATGCAAAAAACTTCTTGTCATGTTGATCATATAAACCCGCATCTTATACAAGAATTGATTCCTAATTACGAACGAATATAGTGATTCTCATGATTTGCCATAAAAGCCATTATATAAAAAGAATGCTTCAAAAGCATGTTCTTGCTTCCTTTTACCTTTAAATTGTCCTCCATCTGGACAAAAGCTGCCTCTCATGGTCTGGGATGCCTTGCCAATTCAGGGCCACTGACCTCTTTACTGTACAAAATTTCATAAAAGTAAAGTAGCTCATGTCCCTTTTCTTTCTCTTCACTCTTTAAAATAGTTATTCTCACAAAAAACCTTCATGAAAATAAGCTCCAAGTGAGAGGTACATGTTGTCATACTCTTTACCACCTCCAGGCAACGAGGAAGCCTAGAGGCAAGCATGTACAACTTCTAGCTTCCGCAAGGGACATCATTTGTTTTCGAATGGTAGAAGATAAGATTATACTATTTCCTGATGAATAAGACGTCAATGTGGCAAAAAAAAAAACTCAAAATGAATACAAAAATTAGAAATAGTTTTTCAGTACAAATCTTAACATGTAAAATATTAACTTCATCGTTTCTTTATAACATGTAAACTAACAAAATTATGTAGCAAGGTGACCGTCATGGATGGAGGCAGCATATGGCCATTGGGAGCAATTGCCCTCACTCAACTTCTTTTGTGATTAAAAATTGCTCTGACTAAAAATATAAATTACTCCTCACATTCTATACTTTTCTTACCCTCTCACTCTCTTTAGTCATGTAATTCTTCTCATTAGTTAATGGTTGATAATTTTAGCATTCTAAACATCAGTTATCCAAAATCATGTAATTAAACAGTAAGTTAATAACATTATATTGAATTTTTAACTTAATTTTATCATTTAAAATTGCCCGATTAAAAAGTGTTTCTGGCTCCGTCCGGGATGACCGTCACACAAAAATTTATCGGGAATTACGAATAGTATTTCGATTTGGTTGGTGTGAGGTATATTTTCTGTCATCCACTCGCAAGAAAGAAGCAAATAATATATTGTTTTTGTTGGTGCATGTTGTTATGTTGCATGGGTAAAAGAGGACCCAAATTTATATTATTTAAAAAAAATTAAAATGAAAGGGACCCTATAAGAATGCAAGTGGAAGGGTAAAATGGGAAATGGGGAAATATGGAAAGCTCCAGTGGCCAATTTCCCGCGTCCAGCTCCTATTATGGCCAAGCCGCCCTATCTGACCCGTTTCGTTTTCTCTTAAACAAAGAAGTCGCTCTCGGTCATCGTCCGGCGTACACGTGTGTGTCCCACGTGTCGCGACTCCACTCGTATACGTGTACCAGTATGAGGCCAAACTAATACGCAACGGTGCTTGTTAAATCTTTGTCGGTTTCACCAACTTTCCAATGTTGCGTTAAGATTTTAGCTGATATTTTGCTTAATATCAAGTTCGAAACAATATCAGTTAAAAAATGATAGGAGAATAAAGATCCAATTTGATAACATTAAGCATTTTTTGATGGTGAGTTTTTCGTTTTCGATCCCAAGTTCGTAGTTCAAGTCACGTTCACGATTTGTGGTCTTCAACTCGAGTCTCGTAGTCTCCCCTTAGTTCCAACTCCAACCACATTGTTGTATCGAATTCGCGGGTGAGTGTGGCAAGGTGGATTTAGTTAGTGGTTAACACAGTGTTCACGCACTAGGATATGACAATCTTGTAATAAGAATAGGATATACTTCTTTTAAAGAGTGTGTCAATAATGTGATTAATTTATATATTCACGTATTATTGTTATTAAAAATATACACTATCATTATGTGTGCTTTTTGAGACCTAGAGATCGCAATAAAACATAGGTAAATTCCTTCAAGAATGCATAAAATACATATTAGAAAATTCAAAAAATTAACTTATTTTTTCAATGTTTGGAAATGTTGAAATATGAGGCCATGGCAATACCATCTTATTTCATTCCCCCTTGATTTACACTGTGCCTATGTTTGGTATGCGGGAAATGAAGTTTGGGAATGAAAATTACTTTCTTTCCCATTTTTGATAAATTTGCCGTGAGAAAAATTATGTAATTAATACTGCTGGCTATTAAGACATGTTTCCTTAAGAGAAATGAATCAACAAAAAATGTGTGTCATTTTTTTTTCTTTTATTTATGAAACAATATTATCTGCACCTATGAGGTAGGGCAGTGGGTTAAGTCTCAAAATGCTACAATAATGTGGTTCAAATTCCTTTTTTTTTAGGGTCAATATCAACAATGCATTTCATCCAATGATAAATCTAATCCAAAACAAAAAGCAATGACACAATCAAACCTAAATGAACAAAGTGTTGAATTGAATCGTAACAGTCTCTACTGGGGTTTATTACTCATTTTTGTACTTGTTGTTTTATTTTCCAATTATTTCTTTAATTAAAACAAAAAAAGAATAGATAGTAGGAATTCTCTTATCCCATTTGGAAATATATCATCTCATAATTATTTATGGCCGTTTATGTCTCTAGCATGAGTCCATGACCACTTGATAAAATGTGGAGGAAAGTAGGACAAATGGCCAATACTACTAGAAGGATTCCTCTTTCAATCATGTTTTCGTTCACTTGGAATCTGGGCTCTTGTACTTCATTTTTACTTACTTCATTTTTTTTCCCTTTCTTTTTTTATTCCCTTCTATCATTCCTTAAGTCTCATAGGTTTGATCATGTAGAATCTGACTCATTTTATCATTGAGCGTAAGGTACGAAATAAATCATAAACATCTTGTTCTTTCTTGAAAAATGTATGATCTCTAATGAACTTTTAAGTAGGATTCGAATCCAGATAAATCGATGACCATCTGTCAGAGAAAAAGAATGAATGAATCTTGTAGGATTCCCAAGAAATTCTTCAATTTCTTCCAGAAGCACATGCATATTAATCTGCTTCTCACGTTCCGTGAATAGTCGGAATATTGAGGAATATCCGGTGGGAATCGAACATAAGACCTCTCACTTGTAAGTGAAGAGAAATACTACTAAACCGTAATGAACTAAATAACATTCTTATTCATTTTTTAAACGATCAAAGAAAAACAAACGTGGACGAGTCCTATTGCATTTGAGTATGACATACTTGCAAAACGACAATATGATATGATCAAAAAAGACAAGTTTAGCTCATACACATTCATTCTCATCTCAATGCGTAGTAGACAACTAGACATGCCTAAACTGATTATTATTTCGTGGAAAGTTCACATCCCCGAATGGGATAAGCTCTTTAATATTTGTATTTCATTTTTAAGCAAAGTTTCCACGTTACAAATATGGTCCTTAAGCCAATTTATATTTTTATACATTTTTATTTTTGAAAAGGAGATTCCAGGGGAAATACAAAAGTCACTTTCTCGGCCACGGTTTAGAAATAGCGTAGCTGTTTCTCAACTTTATCGATCAGCGCCAATGAATAAACTAATCCTAATGCTGCTGTTAGCGTTAATGTTAATCAATCGAAGAAGTGTGGGCTAA